GCATGCACTCACCTGTCTGGTTGGAAATCTCGTCCTCTGGGCAGGGAGTGCAGTCAAAACAACAGGCAGGCCTTCCCTCCTGAGGGGACTTCCTGAATCCAGGTCCACAGCTCACACTGCAGGCTGAGTTGGGAGTCTAGGATATTAAAATACATGTTGGCAAGAGAGAACTTTGACCCAGTCCCATAGTAACTGTAATGCTTTAGAGTATTGGACCACTAATAAAGATACTTTGTGGGCTGGGGATGTGGCTCAAGTGGTAACGCACTTGCCTGGCATGGGCTGGGCCCTGAGTTCCATCCTCAGCACCACATAAAAATAAAATAGAGATGTTGTGTCCATCGAACACAAAAAATAAATATTAAAAAATTCTCTCTCTCTCTAAAACATAAATATACCTACCCAAAATTAATTGATAAAAGACCAACTACATGGCAAATGTGATACATATGGACATTTAGAAACCCATGGTCAAATGCACATGTTTGTTTCCCAACCATCAGAGAGTCACTAAGGAAATCTTGGAAGGTGAAATATGATGCAAAAAACATCCAGATGTGGCCATTTCCTAACCTCTGGAGAGGCACATGACCCACCATACAATTTGGTTCTCTAAGTGTAATGCAAAGAACTTTGATCAGGACCAACCCACCTGTCTATCTCCTGTGGCCCACTCTATCTTGTCCTCAGATAGAGACAGTTGTTGTCCCTGTGGTAAATAAGGGGAAAACGTTCCAACTTTCACCTTAAGTCCAAGGCCTTCCGGAAAGTTCCAAAAGTTAAGAATGTCATACTGTCTGTCCAATTGTCCTTTCTGATTCATACTCACTGGGTCCCCTGCAGGATTGTTAAATTTGATGTTCTTCAGAAAGGGGTGCAGCTGAAAGAGAAGCACCAAGTTAAGAGAGGGATCCAGTGTTAAGAAGAAACCTGGATTACTGAATACTGCACATTTTCTTTTATCTCTTCCTAAAAATTCAACTTTATTACAGGCACCTGATGGAGTAAAACATGGACTTGGTATGAATTCTGACTGGTATGGTCAGAGTGTTTCTACAGTATTGGTCAGGCTCAGGAGGAGAGGCCCAAACCTAGGCATACCTGCATGGTCAGTGGGCATGCTCTTCCGCACCCATTTCCTCTCCTGGGCCTCAGAGCACCTGTCAGCCAGGTCAGGCCACCAGAACCTGGAGTGGTGCAGAATTGCATGAGACCCCTTCTGCAAACTGCCCATCGTGCTCAGCGTCCTCCAGGCAGTTAGGGAGCTAGTTCTCTGCTTGTCAGTGAAGGGCGTCCTGGAAGGGGGCTTCTCCTGTTGAGAGCAGTGGGCGGGCAGGACGGTGAGGCGCTCTTTAACTGAACATGGATCTTCATTCCTAGCTCCTTTTCCCCTGGCCAGTGGCATCTGGTTCTTGCTTGCCATCCAGGCACAGATTTACCTGCTAGCAGTGACAAGGGACAGAGGTGCTTGTGTTTTGGGAAAGGATCCTACACTCCTTGGTTGGAGCCCCTGTGGAGCCCTTCAGGATGACACCTTGGTGAAGTCCACACCCCCCAGTTGGAGACATTACCTGCCAGGGGGAGAACACTGGGCCTTTCCCATTCTTCGCTGGTTGCCCATCTGCTTGTTGAAGGAGCATCTCGTGAAGGGTGTGGGCCACGGCATAGACAGCATTGTATATGTTGTAGCTCCCGTCCCTCACGGCCATGTCAAAATGGTGCCGTGGTAACCATGCCAAGGAGCCTGTGGAAGAACAGCTCTCCAGTGTTTTACATTCAGACTCTGAGACTGAGCAGTTAAAATGCATCCACCACAACCTAGCAAGGTATGTGTCCTCTGGGTATTTGGCAGGGTTTGCTGTCTGGATAAAATGTTTCAGTCCAGAAATCTCCCCATGGTGGTGAGAAAAAATGAGTGCGCCATGGAATGGGTCCAGGATGAAATGGCTCTCACTTGACGTTACATCCAATTGGGAGGTGGTAACCCAGATTTTCCAAGTGTCCAGATAGTCCCATGTTCTAAAGCTCATGCTCAGGGAAGAGTCCATATCACCAAAAATGATCACAACATTTGCTGTTGAAGTCATTAACCTGTTGTAATACAAGTAAGGCCTTTTTAGGTATAATGACACACTGGATGGGATCATATTCACAAAGGCCATGCAGACTCCGTTCCTGTCCATCTCGCCTCTCAAGTCTGAGAGAAAACGGATGCCTTTCTCATCCTCTGAGATGATCAGCCCCACCCAGTTCCAGCTGAAATGAACCATCAAGGACACCATGCCACAGGCCAGAGATGTGTCCTTGGGAGCCATCTGATAGAGAGAGGGAAACTGGCCATTGTCACTCAGGATGTGTTCAAAAGGCCCAAAGGTGAGCTGAAGGGGAGGAACATGGAAGCCACGTGAGGAAAAGAATTGGCACCAGGCATCCTCTCAGAAGTGACAGGTGTCACACAGCAGTTTGAAGTGGTGGAACTGAACATTTGCTTGTCTAGTTTTTCTAATCATCTCCCAATTCCATATCCTGTCAGGGTACTGACTAGTGCTCATGTTCTGGGAAACCCTTTAATCTGTTTTCTCCTCTCTATTCCAAAGAAAGCAAATGTGGATACCTAAGCAGTCTCTGAGTCCTTATCCTTTGAAACATTTTGAAGTGGACGTGTCACCTGGTCTACACTTTGTCTTCTCCTTTCACTGTCTGTAGGCCCCTGAGAGAGGCAACAAAGGAAAATGGTCTAACCTCTTCCCACCCACCCTCACCTGTGGAAATTTGTAGAGCTCCAACAGGGTCCCAACTTGGGCAGAAGATGTCCATACTGTTCCTGTAAGTAATGCAACTGACTTGCTTTCTTTCCTACAGGTGTAATTAGGGATGGCCATTCCCAGCCCTGTGACCCAAATGAGGGTGCTCTTCATGGTCAACCGATGGTTGTGCACGACATTATGAAACTCATATCCCAGAGACATGTTGGGTAAAAGGTGGGGGTTCCTGTTGATCTCCTCAATGGCAAAAACCAATGCCAGGACATACTGGTAGTTCTTGGGTTGCAACCTGCATAGAGGGCAGAGGGATCTTTAGGTATAAGACTCCAGCCATGATTATCTTTCAATCAAAAGCAATGTCTTTTATGAATGGAATACTTGTTTCCCCTCAAAATTCCTACATTGAAACATCCTAAGTGATGGTGTTAGAACATGAGATCTTTGGGAGTTAATTTGGATTAGATATGGTCATGGGGCCAAATCTCTCAGAAATGGGATTAGTGCCATTTTGAAAGCCCAGCAAGAGTTTGCTCCATCTCTGCAGGAAGAGAATACATCAAAAATACAGGCTGCCCTTGTGAACCGGGAAGGAGACCCTCACCAGACAAGGAATCCAGCATGTGCAGGTCTTGGAATTTCTGTCCTCCTGAGATGTGAAAAAATAGATATTTGTGCAGTAAGCCACAACAAATACAAATGGTATGCTGTTATAGCAGCCTGCACTGTCTGAGTCAATGACCTCATTAAGAATGAAGGCCCTAATTAAGGATCAAGTCAATCTGCACGTATAATTGGCTTCTGTAAGGCCTTTAAATTTGTAGCTATAGCAAATAACATAACTTGTTTCTCCTCTTCCTCCTCCTTTTCTTTCTTTATATTTGAGGTGCTATAATATTAAAATAATATAATATGTAAGATAACAATTACTATTTCTTTTTTATTTATTTATTTATTTTATTTTTTAGTTTTCAGCAGACACAACATCTTTGTTAGTATGTGGTGCTGAGGATCGAACCCAGGCCGCACACATGCCAGGCGAGCGTGCTACCGCTTGAGCCACATCCCCAGCCCAACAATTACTATTTCTTTGTGATTGGTTGAAATTTTATTCTGTTATCAATGGGCCCTTTGATTTGTCAAGATGAGTTTTCCTTTTTCTTGTGGTATTGGATTTCACAATAGCCCTGGGTTTGTTTTGCTTGGTGTCTGCCTAGTGCATATTTATTGCTCCTGCCTTATCTGGACTTGGCACTGTTCCATGTGGTTTTTATTTAGCATTTCTCTGTAAATCTGTGATTTTTCTATTCCATTGGGAATCTGTATTTAACTGAAGAATTGATTATTTGCCCTTTTTTTTTGTGATTATGAACAGGCTTGCTTTGCTCTCAATTAATTTATTTTTCTAGAACTTCTTTGCTTCTATTTGATGTGCCCAGCAGACTATGCCCTCTGAAGTGGATGTGTCACCTGGTCTGCATGGTTCATGGGCCCTTCACCTTGCAGCTGTTCCTAAGGGAATCACTGTCTTTGGTCTTCTGTTCTTCTTTTCATTCTCTCTTCCACGTGTACTTTCATTTCATGTTTCCTAGTCTTTGACTTTCTGTGCTGGTCCCAAGTTTTTTTCAGAGTTAGAATTTAGTTCTCTACATGCATGTGTCCTATATCATCTATTAGTTAAAGTTTTAACATTTAAAAGGCTTTAGTGCTGTGCTTCAAATTGATCATTTTTGATAGTTTCCAGTTTCCTCCTTTTTCGATTACTCCATCTTTTATTTTTGTGAATAGTGCATAACAGTCCTTCTATATTTTTGAAGTTAGTACACCAAACAGTTGAGGATTTGGGGCTCAAATCCTATTATTTTTAATTTTCAGTATCATTTGTTTTGTCATTATTAACAATGCCTCGTTCCCTTGGGTGTTGGTGCACTTTGACTGTAAACTCATCCTTATGAGACTTTGACTTATGGAAAGCCTGGCCTCTACGTCTAGGATCTGTTCTTCCAAGAAGAACGTCACTGGCCTCTGCTCTTTGTCATGTGAGGTGATACCTAGTTGAGTATTTTTTCTTTTCTATGACTTCCAGTTAACCTGGAAGTCCCAAATTCAGTTGCTCCAAGTTGCTTGTGACCTAAAGAAAACTCTTTTAATTTTTGGATTGCTATCATTTAACTCCAAATTTCATTTGCTCACATGGATTTCTTCTATCCTAGGAGATTTCTTTGACAAAATCATGAAAGATCATGAATGCAATTAAAATTGCGCTTTATGAATCATTTTTCCACGTTATGAAGTTAAATCTATCTAGTTGCTCATACTTCCAGAAATAAAATCTGCCTTTTTTTTTTTAGAAGTGAAAAGTGAACTCAGGGACACATGGCCACTGAGCCCCATCCCCAGTCCTAATTTTTATTTAGAGACAGGGTCTCACTGAGTTGCTTAGCACCTTGCCCTTGCTGCGCCTGGCTTTGAACTCAGTATTCTCCTGTGTTAGCCTCCCGAGCCACTGGGATTACAGGCGTGTGCACTGATGCCCAGCAAAATCCTGCCTTTTGATTTCTTTCCTTTCATATAACTGTAGATGGGGGGGGAAATGAATTTACAAACCAATTTCATGTCTTTGCATTTTCATTAAAGAAAAGAGACAGCAAAGAGATTCTCAAAACTGTGATGCATAATTCATATTTGTGAAATAAAAAAAGAATGGAGAATTTCTAAAACCCCCAGGAGAGAGAGAGACAGAGACAGAGACAGAGAGGTGTGTGTGTGTGTGTGTGTGTGTGTGTGTGTGTGTATCTCCTTGGTTTAACCACAGAAATTGCAATTCAGTAGCTCATCATATGAGCAGGCAAAATTGAAATCCAGTTGGTTAAACCACACACTAGAAAAATCCTCATTAAATACTGAAATTAACTGTGTTGATTATAATTGCATAGCTGTGACCAAAACACCTGACAAAAGCAAAGTAGAGGAGGAAAAGTGTACTTTAGGTTTGCGGTTTCAGGTTCAGACCACGGCAGCAGTCCCATTGCTCTGGGCCTGAGTTGGCTGAACATCAGGGCAGAAGAGCAGCCCCTGGAGCTCATGATGGTCTGAAAGAGGAGGCACTTCAGGGACAAAATCTATACTCTAAGGGCGTGCCCCTGACCTACTTCCTCTAGTCAGTAGTCCTTCCGAATGACTGATCCTTCATGTGGATTAATCCACTGATTTGGCCAATGTTCCCATAAGCTAATCAGTTCACCTTTGATCATTGCTCCATTATGTAACATGAGTCTTTTGGAGACACCTCATATCCAAATCATGACACCATCAATTAGAAAGTAGTAACAAGGAGCTCAAGAGAAAGAGAAGAGGAAAGAATGAAGCAAATGAAAGTGTTTGATCCAAAAAAAATTTCTGAGCATTATGGTTTTTAAATAGTGTAAAAAATAAAAGTATGTGAATTAAGACTTAAACTATAAGTAAATGAGAAATGAAATAAATTTGAAATAATTCAGGAGATGAGACTGGAGATTGAAACAGTAAGAAAAAAATGTCAAGTATGTCTAAAAGAAAAATTATCAGCAGATCTGGTTCTTTGTAAAGAATATTATGATTGACATTATTCAGACAAGTCTAATGAAGAAAAATATTTTAGGGAAAGCAAATGTTGACAACATTGGGTAAGGGAGATTATAAGTGAAGCCATACAGGCAAGTGGGAATCCATTCCTTTGACTTCAGGGGAAAGACTGTGGTTTTTTAAAAGAAAAATATAGTTTCATAAGTCTACACAAAAGTAAAATAAGGAGAGGAAAATATGTAAATAGAACTATATGGTTTCCACAAAAGTTTTAAGAAAAAAATGCAAATTCAGAGCCTATATAGATTTCTGATATTATTTTCCAAAACTCAGGAATAGATACACAGTCTTCTAAGAAACTCTTAAAACAGAGCCTGTCTGTTATTGATGGAATTCACATGAGTTCACTAGCAACATCCAAGTTTAAATTAGAACAAAGATTGTCCTGCATAGAATCTTAAATAATCTTTGTAAGTCCTCACATTTAATATCCATCTATCTCCAAAGGAAGAAGTCCCATTATGTTCATTGAAGCATAGAAAACATTTCGTAAAAGGGAGCATTTATTTCTGAGTTACCATATGTGTTCTGTTGGAGGAGATTTTCTTAACATTGTTTTAACCAAACAGCTAAAACAATAACCCTGTCCTAGCCCATCAACTTGGTGAGGCATGTGAGGTGATTGATATGCTAATTAGCTTGATATATTCATTTCATGATGAAATCATACACCAAAGTGTTACACTGCACCACATAAATACTTATAGTTTTGCCAATTGAAAACAAAATTAAGTGATAAAACCAAAATTCTTTCAGATCAATACCTATAGCACTTGTGGTGAGTCAGGGGGGTGTTGGGCATGTAAGGTCACACCCTTCCAGCAGTGGGCTGCACAGACAGGCACTCTGCTGCCCCACACCAGAGCCAACACTGTGAACACTGACATCTGCACTGTTGGCACTCTGTGACCTCCTGTTATTGGAATGAAATAAAGATGATGAAAAATCTCTGTCAGTTGCATTCCCATAAAATCAGACAATAATTTCTGTTAGCAATAGAATCATCTATTGGATTTTCTAAGCTATTAGATATGCACAAATGATAGGCAAATGAGAATAGAAACAGTACCAGGCTGTAGTATTTATTTACCTGGGAAATGCATGGAAAATACAAAAGGGAACAGAACTAAGAAAGATGCTCAGAGGCCAACCAAGTACTAAAAGACTCCGCAATTGCTAATGGCTATTAGAAAAAACAGTCAATGCTAATGGGAACATGTATGTAGCATAATAAGAAACATAAGAAAATTTAAACTGACTTCTTGGATAAAACTTAAAATTCTACTAAAACCCTAAAAACATTTAAAATCATGTTGCAAGATGTCACTATTCTCCAAAGGGTGCTACCAAAGGTATACCTTGGCAAGATGTTGCAAAAGTGTTTTACAAAGTTACAGCAAAATTTTCTTAGCATTCTGGCAACATGAAAAGTTTAGAAAATTAGTAGAAAGAATTAAGAATAATAAGGGAAGAATGAGAAAAATAACATCAATTACTATAATATTTTAAAGGCAGCAGTGATCTCAGAAAACATGGATACATCAGTAGGCTGAATTGGAAAGTAGAGAAATGACCTGGGTTTATGCATAAGTGCTTCC